AGGTGCCTCTCACATATATGTATATATATATATGCCCAAATTCCCTACTAAGAATTCCCTTATGAGGCGGATGTGCGAGGCACGGACCTCTACGTTCGCGAGCACTGGGATTTGTGACCCAGTACGATCGACCTTGGCCCGGTTCCTCGGTTTAAGGTTTAGGGTTTATAAGGTTCAGGGTTTATAAGGTTTAGGGTTTAAGGTTTAGGGTTTAGGCTCTCTTCAAACAACAATCAATTTTTGCGGGTTTGGGTTTGGGTTTATTTTCGCGCCTTGTTGGGAATCGTTTTGTTTACGCCTTTTTGACAGTAGATTATGAGGGACCTCTGGTGGTGGTGTTGACTCGTAGCTAGTTTCTTTCCTTGTGACCAATCTTCCTTTTCTGTTGCTACATTGTGATTATGGTTATGTCCAAGGCTTGCCAAACTCTCTTGGAACTTCCTATTGGACGTGTCACCAGTGGATGGATCATCCTTTCTGGAGGTGCCTTGGCAAGGAATGGTGATGATGACCACGCGGTTGATTGACGCTGGAAAAGGTGTAGCACCTTTCCCACAAGGAATATGGAAGCTCCCGCACAGGCGCTGTTTCAAGGACTGCTGTTTTCCTAGTTCACTCAAGGCTATATAAAAGATGTTGCGCAGGCACAGCAACTCTAAGGCTATGTGGCCCCAGAAGCCGAGACCCTAAGACCGATTCAAAGTTCAGTTGCTCATTAGCCGAGCAGCAGCCCGACCAAATATGGAGGTTTGGGATGTTCAGGTGCGACGAGAACAAAGCTACAAGTCCTATCGAAGCCAGCAAGCGTTTCCAAATGTCCTGTAGGGGCGTAGATGATGAAAACCGAGTTCCCTCATCAAAAAACAGCATGAGGGGCTGCCGACAAGATTCGGGACAAGATGATGCACGTGATGGCTCGTGTCTCAGCTTGTGCGTCGAGAGGGCCACGTCCTATCCCATTGGACATCCAAGAAACATCCCTAGCTGCTGAGCTGCTGTAGCTAGGCGAGATGTCTATGTGAAAAAAACGTCTGGTGGTTAGAATAAAACGTGCATGTGTGTACAGCTTGCGAACGGTTTTTCTAGGGAACTGTTTGGGCTTACGTAGTTGCTTCATGGAAACAGTGGTCCTATGTGTCAGAGATTGGGCACACAACCTTTTCAGCAAGGAAGGCAATTCTAGTGTTTTGGCTGATATCATCCTGCAGGGGCGAGTGGCACATAGACCATGGGGTTGCGGAAGTATTGGGACTGCACTTGTGCAATTTAAAGCAGAAGCGCACAATCTTCAAAGTTCTAGCAGCCAACATAGGTAGAGGCCTGCAGCATCTACTTTTTCCGGACGGTGTGACCTTTTTCTGCGCCGAGGTAGCGTGCCAAAACGGTCAAACCACACTCACAATTCAAATTTTCCGTCGAAAAAGCTGACTCAGCCACGGCACAGTAGGTTGCCACAGGGGGTGGTGGTCCATGACACTGCATGATTGAGGCCGTGCTCAGGCCCGAGCCACGCCCGCCATGGCATCGAAGCATGCAGCCTAACTAGGGATGCAAATTCTTGTCTTCAACATCTTCTACAGCTGCGGGTTGCAACTTATCAAGGCTGATGAAGAACTCTAAATTCCCAATTTTTGCCACGGAGTTTCCAATCGTTAAATCCTGGGCGCCCGCTCATGACGGCTGGCCTTGGTCACTCCGGATGCATGGGAGGGTCTTCTCTGGAGCCCTGGCTGGATGTAGAGGCGGGTGGCCTCTTTCCAATGTTCACAGTCTCAGTCGCTGTGGTCCTGGCGCTGTCATATGTCAAAAGACACGAGGAACTCTTGAGTACAGGTGACTTGGTGGAGTTTTGTGACAGCTTGGGCCATGCTATGTTTGTGTCTCACCAATGGATGTCAGCAAAGCATCCCGATCCAGATTTCAAACAGTTCAGAGTCTTGCAAGATGCCTTGCGCAATCTGCTTTCAGGCCGTAGTAAGGTCCGCCAGTCAGTCGCAACAGAAGCAGCTCGCGGTCGAGTAAAGACACCAACCGCTGCTGACATCAACGCACAGCCCTTGTATCTCTGGTACGATTACTTCTGCTGTCCGCAAATGGACAGCATTGGTGCAGTGCATGCTCGCAGAAGGGCTATAAACTGCATCGCATCCTATGTGTGCAGATGTAAGTTCTTTGTTGTTCTGTGTCCAGTCCTCAAACACTGTGACCATGATTGTCAGCTAGATCACCGAAGTTGGGCCTCGCGCGGGTGGTGCCGCAGTGAACGACTGGCCAGAGAGCTGAGTCTCCGCAACCATGGTCACATCATAGTCATTCACGGCGCACATCACCAGAGATCGATGTTCAGCTCGAATAGCCACCTGGAGGCTCCTGGCATGGGAGAGTTCACAGAGGAGTCTGACAGACCACGCATATCGCGGATTATTCTACGTATGTTGTGGGATAAGCTATTGCACTTGCTTCAAGAAGGAGATCTCCTAGGCTATCGCTTCCTTCTAAACACGCAAGCAGCGTGCTGCCTCAAGGGTTTGAACACCTCACCAATCGAAGCCTTGATGCTTGGACTGTCTAGAAGACGTTGATGTGCTTGGTCATAGTGCCCAATAATGTAGAAGTCTGCCGGAAAAAAACGTTATGAATGCCTATGCCTAAGTAGCTGTAACCTCATCCCGACTTCTACCTATGGCTCAATATTATCTTGTGGTTCCATTGCCCCATTGCGTAATGATGTGCTACAGAAAGCTCTGCTGAAGGGTTTGGGGTGCATGCAAGTGCAGGAGCAAAAAGGTTACAAGAAGATACTCTAGGTGAAAAGGCATACAGGAGGATACCTAAATCAGATGATGATAACATGAAGGTACCCTTTCCGAGCTATTTGCTCGAGTAATTGCCCTAAATCCCTGAATTTTGAGTCACGTGAGAACCAATGGTAGAAAGACAATCAGAGGTATTCAGACATCTAAATTCCCAAGAGAGCCTAAAGGGTTCCTAGGATCTCGAAGGGCGCGCCGATCACCAAGGATATGCGGCTTCACACCAAAGAAGGACCCATGTCTCAACCCGCAGGGCTTCATAGTCGAGCGGTATCTGCACGACAACAGGCAGCTTGCATTCGCCAGATGTCAGATTCAGTTTCTCGTGAGTAAAGCAAGTTGCGGAACGAGCAACGAGGCCCAATGTGATACACTTATAGTGCACCCCACACATGGCATATCGCGGCACCGACGGCATTTCTCTGCAGCTCAAACTGGGGCGAACACGTCACACAGAGGGCTTAGGGAACCAAATAATTGGAAGAGTGGAGAATCAAATGGAAAGAAATGGAAAATTGAATAGAGCAACTGGGGTTCTACAAATCCCGAATAAATGTAGCGGCTTCCATTCCATTCGCCAGATTCTTTTCCATTTGACTCTTGACTCTGCACTCAACATAAGGTGTAGCCTGATAAGGTGTAGTCCGAAGCAACTCAAGCCTTCCTGAGACTTGATCAGGTGATTTTGGCAGTTTACGGTTTAGACTTTAGGGTTTGAGCGTTAAGGGTTTGGGGTTTAGGGCT